TGCATTATAGAGATGGGAGCACAATCAGGCAACAACATGCAAGTAAGAAGGTGCACCACCATTACATGGTTTATAACTGCACTACAGCTACATTACAAGTAGCTATATGTGTTCAATCAGAAGCTTGATCATGCCAGGATCTCCTCAGGTTGTTCGCACAGAGTTGATGCAGCGGAAAAATGACCTCAGATTAGAGTTAACGTAAATGACTGTAGTGATTATAGCAATAGCATATATTGGTTTAAATAGAAAAACAAAGGAAAAACAAACATCATAGCTAGCCATATACTATAAGGGGTACATTCCCTTATTGCAGCGAAAAAATCAACCGTGCAGCGCGGGAACCGGTTTTGAACTTGTTCACGTCAAATCATTCGCGATGCAAGTGCCTGATTTTTCTGCTGCTGACGGTCCAGATGCTCCCAACTACGCGCGACGTTTTACATGGCTCTGACTCTTCGCATTCGCACTCTCTTGTGCATGTTTCACTTGCCAGGAATGCACTGCACTTCCCATTTTACTTATCGCAACACCCCCCTTCATTCCTGCCCGTAGCAAGACTTGACTCGCTTGACCACTCCACTCAGTTCGGCGCAGTGCTGATACTACTGACGAGGCCGTCGCTTCATGAGGAAGTTAGCAACCATGTCACCGGTCGGGCAGTATGTCAGATCGACCCTCCCCTTGTCGACTTCGTCCTTCACGAAGAAATATTGCAGCGCGATCTGTTTGGTGCGTCTTGTCAAAGTTATATTTGTGTAGGGTTTAGTCTGTAATGAGTTGCATTCTAGGGGGCACAACATTTATCTCGACACTCTATGTACCCCTCCCCTTTGACCGAATGCACTCGTTCCTAATCCTTAATTTGTCATGGTTTCAAAGCACTTAGTACCTTAGGACTTTTTTTTTCATGGGCCCTTCGTTAGTACACTGCCCCGCTGCCCATTCGCGCTGCCCCGCTGCCCCGCGCGCTTCGCTGCCATGCACGAACTCCTGCCCCGCTGCCCCGCGCGATCCATCCCCTCGCGCGATCTGCTGCCCTGCTGCCCTGCGCGGTCCGCTTCCCTGCTGCTCCGTGCGCTCCGTCGTCCTGCGCGCTGCTACCTCGCGCGCCCCCTGCTACCCGTGCGCCGTCAGCAGCCGCTGTGGCCGCCTCTGCTGCCGCCCCCCGTAGTTGCAGCTACAGCCGCAGCGTCTAGCACCGCTACAGCCGCCATTGACGATGCTGCTGCTACCGCCCGCTTGCTGCCACGCCCGCTGCTATTGCGACTACAGCTACTGCCACTGCAGCCGCCGCCTATGCTGCTGCAGCTGCCGCTTCAGCCGTCTCTGCCAGAAGCCACTACTACAGCTGCTGCAGTTGCTGCTACCGTCGCTGCAGAAACTGCTACTGCCGCTGCAGCTGCTACAGCCGCTCCAGCCGCCACCCCAGCAGTTGCTGCCACTGTTACAGCCGCTGCCGCTGCTACAGCTACTGCAGCCATTGCTACACCGCTGCAGCCGCCGCTACAGCCACTGCAGCCATTGCTACAGCCGCTGCATTCGCCGCTACCGCCGCTGCAGCCGCCGCTACAGCAGCTGCCGCCCACGCCCCTGCTGCGCGCTGCTACCGCATGCTGCCTCGCGAGTGCCGCTGCCCTGCCGCGCAACCAGTCTCCGCCACAGTTAGTGCCTGACTCCCCACTGCCTGCTCCTGCTCTATACGCTGTTGTGACAGACTCTCAGACAGAGACTAGAGAGCCTGGTTCTCGTGCTTCCACACCTGTTCGTGCTCGTCGTGTTGCCCGTCCTTGTGCTCCCGCTGTGCCAGGCACTCACCATATGGCACTTCGTCCTTCCTCTGTTCCACGGCGTGTTATACTGCCGTCGCCTCCCGCGTGTTCTCTTCCACACGTTCTTGACCCTAGTCTGACCTTGTCCGTACTGTCAGTCTGAATGTCACTCGTCTCCTTGCCACGATCGTGACTGACCCTTCCTTTGAGTCTGCTGCTGCGTCTCCCTTAGTTGCTGAGCTTGTTGACTTTGCTGCTTTGTGTCGCCTTGACTACGCTGCGAGTCTTGTTTTTTACTCTTCCTGTCCTCCGTACATCGGGGGTGAGCTTGCCCTTGGCTGTGACGTCCTTGAGGATATGCAGTTTGAGCTGGAGTACCTAGCGGCCGCTGCACCTCGTCTCGCGTCCACGCTACTTTGCCCTGAGGGAGACCCGGATGCACTGGATATCCCGACCCCGCGTTCTTGCGCAGACGCGATCACGTGTCCGTACTCGTCTCAGTGGCAGATAGCCATGGACGCAGAAATGGCTTCCTGGAAGTCCACAGGCACCCACGTCAACGCAAGTCCCCCACCTAGGGCGAACATAGTCGATGGCATCTGGATTTTCAGAGTGAAGCGGCTGCCGGGTTCTCCACCTGCCTTCAAGGCGCGTTACGTTGTACGAGGCTTGATTTAGCGACAGAGGGTCGACTTCTTCCAGACCTTCTCCCCCACCCCGAAGATGACCACTCTTCGGGTGCTACTGCACGCTGCAGCACAGCGCGACTACGAGCTGCACTCCCTTGACTTCTCGACAGCCTTCCTACAGGGCAGCCTTCACGAGGCTATCTGGTTGCGCCGCCCACGTGGCTTCACTGGGTCGTCTCCTGAGGATAGCCAGTGGAGTCTCCGGCGACCAGTCTACGGTCTGCGTCAGGCGCCTCGTGAGTGGCACGACACACTGAGGATTACACTTGCCGCTCTTGGTTTCGCTCTCTCGACTGCTAACCCTTCGTTGTTTCTGCGCACAGACACTTCTCTGCCGCGATAGCTCTAACAACGGGAGCTAGTCTACGCGCTAGGCACGGGGTGGGAGTGATCGTAGCGTTCGTTCCTTAGTCGTTTACTTGTGCTCGTACTACTTGCGCATTCACTGGGAAATTCGGCAAGAGTTCCACTAGCAAAAGTTCACAACAATGGTTAGAATGAAGTTGGCAAGGCTGACTACATCAGAGCTAGCAAGCATGCTGGTCGACTGCCAGCGCAGCACGGTCGACCGCGGTCCAGCACGACATGGTCGACTGCGCTCCAGCAGAGCAAAGTCTCGGTCTGCCAACGCTGCAGGTCGACAGCGTGCCAACGCTACAGCAGTGCGGCTGAACAACGTTGCATCCGCATGACAGCAGTGCACCCGCTCCACAGGTGCTCGCAGCTGGTTGGCGTCCCGTGCCTTGTCAACGTGCACAGCGCAGACCCCAGGCCGACCACGTGCCCTCCACCTGATCCTCCACATCGACCTCGGGATACCACACCGAGGTCGGCCTCGCCACAAACACCTGGGCAACCGTCGCGTGCCTCCGCAGACGCCCGTCGCCTGGGTAACCTGGTCGAGTGGGCAACCATGTCGACCAGCAGCTCCTCCTTGTGCCCGTCGACCACCCAGGTCGACGACCACTACCATTCGACCACACCAAGTCGACCACGCACTTGGTCGACCACCACGAGGTCGACCAGCCCAGTTGTCAGCCGACCACACCAAGTCGGCTGCCCCAAGCCGGCGTCACCAAGTCGACGCCCTCCACAGGTTGACCTCCCAAGTCGACCTCCCGAAGTCGGCGCCCTCCTAAATTCGGCGCCCCATGCAGTGGCCCCCGTGCAGGTCGACCAGCCCCGTCGACCAGCTCGCCCACTGCTGCAGGTCGGCTGCACCTCCCGCACACCCGACCACGAGGTCGGCTCCGCCCAAGCGAGGACGGGGCCAACCACAACTCCCGTTGACACTCCCCTGCCGCGTTCACGCTTGGGCCCCCAGCCCAGACGACATCACTACTCGGAGAATAGCTCATCAGCGTGCACACAACACACAGCACGCCAATCACCGCACCAGCCATGCAAGAGGGCATGGCACCTACTGCTGCACGTCGTCGTCACCGTCGCAGACGTCGACCAGGCGCACTTGGCCGATTGTGAGGGAGCACCGGTTGAAGGCCGGATAGTGTAGCGCCATTGTCAGGAAGTCGGCCGGCTGCTCTATGGTCGGGATGCGCTTCACCATGTGCTGCAGGCGTATCGCCGCTCCATGTGCTTGAGTTTTCCCTGCAACCCCACGCCCTCGGCGACTGTGATGGCCGACTTGTTGTCCACCCGAAGGACAGTCGGCGTCCCGTCGTCCAGCTGCCGGAACTCTGCAAGAAGGAAGCGAAGGCGGCGTCCCTCCTTGCCGGCTTCGGTGGCCGCCACGTACTCCGACTCGGTCGACGACAGCGTCGCGCACTTGATGCGCTGGTTCGACCAGGAGATCGCGGCCCCTCCGTAGACCAACATGTAGCCGCCCGTGCTCGTCCGGTTCTGCTTGTCGCCGGCATCGTCGGCGTCCACGTAGCCAACCAGCTCCAACGTCTCCTGTCCACCACTGAACTCCAGGGCGGTGTCACGCGTGTTGGCGAGGTGGGCGAGGCAGCGGTCGACCTTGCGCCAATGCTGGTCGCTCCTCACCGTGAGGCCGCTGCCCAGCTTGCTGCAGGCGAAGGCGATGTCCGGCCTCGTCGTCGTCGCCGCGAACTGCAGCGAGCCGACCTTCTGCCGGTACTCCTCCTCCTGGCGCTCCTGTGCCTCCTCGTCGTCGAACGACAGCTCGGCGTAGGCGTCGACGGAGACCGGCGTCTTCGGGGTGCGCCTGGTGTCGCGATATATATTGATATATGTCTATAACTGCCTGTAGCTGTAGCTTTGGTGTAGTTATGTTTCCTTGTTGTTGGTGGTGCACCTTTGCTAGATTGTTATATGTGCCTTGTGTGCTATAGTGAACGACACACATTCTTGACATTTCTCCTTGGCACAAACTACTCGACACCCGCTTGGCCTAGGCTACTAAGCCTCGGCCCCTAGTTATACCCGGTTACTAGTTAAGTTAGTCTCGTAACATGGTATCAGAGCTAGGTCCGATTAGGACCGTTTTCAAATGGGCCCACCATTAGCGCTCGCAGTGGCGCGCCCCTTAGTGCGCCTCGTGAGCGCTTTCCCATTTTCAGCCCGTCGCCCGCGCATTACCAGCAACGCACGCCACCGTGCACGCCAGGAACGCAACAGGAACGCCAGGAACGGATTCGCCAGCAAGCACGCCGACGGACCCGCCAGCAAACCCGCCGACGGACCCGCCTCCGGTTCCGACAACGAGAGCGCCACCAAGCCCGTCGACGGACCCGTCGGCGAGCACGCCGACGGACCCTCCAGCAAACCCGCCGTCGGACCCGCCAATGAGAGCGCCAGCAAGCCCACCGACGGACCCGGCAGCGCGCGCGTCAGCAAGCCTACCGACGAGCCCGCCGACGGACCCGCCAGCGCTCGAGTCAGCACGCCCGCCGACGAACCCGCCAACGGGCCCGCGAGCGAGCCCGCCAATGGACCCGCCGCCGTCATGCTGCCTCGTCGCCACTCCCTGGCGCGGAAACAGCGACGGTCGCAGTGGGGGCGAAGAGGAGAGGGGGAAAGGAGTGGCGGCCACCAGCGCCAGCATCTGCCAGTCACGCCTCCTCCCCGCCCGCCCTCCCGTGGACCTCGCAGCTGCTGTGAAGGGGGTGGCGGGAGTGGCGGGGGTGATGGGAGTGGCGGGAGAAGCTGCTTCTACGCCGCTACATGCGCCAGATCGCTCGCGACCCGCACCTTGCACCCCATCCGACCCCGTGCCACCACCAGTGGACCCTACTACCCCGCCCGTTCCAGTCCCCCGTCCCGCCCAGCGCACCACACCTGCCATCGGACCCGCCAGCCGCCAGCACCATCACCGACGCCAGTGACCAGCGCCAGCACCGGCACTAGCGCCGTCACGCCAGCACCAGGCACCAGCACCAGCGCCGTCACGCCAGCACCAGGCACAGGCACCAACACCAGCGCCGTCACGCCAGCACTAGGCACAGGCACCAGCGCCGTCACGCCAGCACAAGGCACCAGCACCAGCGCCGTCACGCCAGCACCAGGCACCAGCACCAGCGCCAGCCGCCAGCAGCTACACCGCCAGCAGAGACACCGCCAGAAGCTACACCGCCAGCAGAGACCCTGCCAGCAGCGACACCGCCAGCAGAGACCCCACCAGCAGCTACACCGCCAGCAGAGACCCCGCCAGCAGCTACACCGCCAGCAGAGACCCCGCTACAGCTACACCGCCAGCAGAGACCCCGCCAGCAGCGACACCGCCAGCAGAGACCCCGCCAGCAGCGCCACCGCCAGCAGAGACCCCCGCCAGCAGCTACACCGCCAGCAGAGACCCCGCCAGCAGCGACACCGCCAGCAGAGACCCCGCCAGCAGCTACACCGCCAGCAAAGACCCCGTCAGCAGCTACACCGCCAGCAGAGACCCCGCCAGCAGTGACACCGCCAGCAGAGACCCCGCCAGCAGAGACCCCGCCAGCAGCGCCACCGCCAGCAGAGACCCCCGCCAGCAGCTACACCTCCAGCAGAGACCCCGCCAGCAGCGATACCGCCAGCAGAGACCCCGGCAGCAGCTACACCGCCAGCAAAGACCCTGCCAGCAGCGCCACCGCCAGCAGAGACACCACCAGCAGAGACACCGCCAGAGCGCAACTGCCAGCGCCAGCGCCAACAGCATCGTACGCCGGCCCCCCTCCCTTCCGCGGCTTCCACAGTGCGGGGGGGGGGGGGGGGGGGGGGGGGAGATGAGGGGGTGGCGCGGGTGACCAGCAATTTGTCACGCGCTGCCTCTCCTCCTTTCTCTCTCCCTGCAGGGCTTGTCGCTGTGGGGAGGGGGGGGGAGAGAGGTTGAGGGGGTGGCAGAAGCAAGTCGGGCATCTGCAGCCGCTGCCTGTAGCAGGCACGCCCCCGGAGGTGCTGAGCTGCGTTTTCCTGCTGCTCGTTGCAGACACAGCGCCTGCTCTCACGCCCACCTGCCGGGTCCTGCACCTGTCGCTGCTGCATCTGCCGTGGCTGAGGTCACTGTAGCTCCATCTGCCATCACTGCAACTGCTGCCTGTTGCAGGCACGCCCTTGGAGGTGCTGAGCCGCGCTGTCCTGCTGCTCGTTGTAGCCACGGCGCCTGCTCTCACGCCCACCTTTCGGGTCCTGCACCTGCTGTTGTTGCATTTCTCATGGCTGATATGTGTTGATGTTTCCCCTGCTTCTTCTACCCCTCAGTGGCTTCACAAGCTCATACCGCAAGCAGGTTAAGGGGGTGTGACTTACTCTAGCTGTGTGTTGCAGGCAGTTAAGGAGGTGTGTCGCGATATGAATTTTATATATATTTAGCTGCCTGTAGCTTTAGCTTTAGTGTAGTTATGTTTCCTTGCTATTGGTGGTGCACCTCTTGTTTGTGTTTCTCGACTATATCGTGTATGCTTTGCTTTTAGTGAAGATAACTTGTTTTGTCAACCCTCTCGATCCTCCCTTGGCCTTGACCCTCGACACCCGTTTGGCCTAGGCTAATAAGCCTAGGCCCTAGCTAAACCCGGTTCCTAAGTTAAGTTATTCTCGTAACACCCGGTCTGCTCCTCGTCGATGAAGCGTCTACGCAGCTTGTCGGCGTAGCCCTGCTGGTGCAGCCACAACTTCCTCGCCGGCCTGTCGCGCACGATCTCCAGCCCGAGGTACTTTTCCATAGGCGAGATCTCGCGAAGCTCGAAGGTGGCCTCCAGCAGCTCCTCCAGCTCCTTCAGCATGGCCGTGCTGCTGCTGGCGGCCAGCAGGTCGTCGACGTAGACCAGCACCCAGCAGGCCACGCCATCCCCGTCGACCTTGAAGTACAGCGACTGGTCGACCTGGCTCTTCTTCCATCCGGCGCCCATCAGCACGTCTTCGAGCGCCTTGTACCACAACAGCGGCGACTGCTTCAGCCCGTACAGGCTCTTCAGCAACTTGCACACCCGGCCAGTCCCGTCGTTGAAGTAGTCCGGCTGGTATATGTACAGCACCCTGTCGAGCTTGCTCTGCAGGAAGGCGTTCTTCATGTCGAGCTGCATCAGGTTGAGGTCGAGGACTGCGACGATGCTGAGGAAGATCCTCAGCGTGACGTAGCTGCTCACCGGCGCATACGTCTCCTCGTGGTTGGCGCCATACACCTGCGTGAAGCCCTTCACGACCAGCCTCGCCTTCTCGCGCTCGACGGTGTCGTCGATGCGATACTTCGTCATCAGCACCCACTGGTTCTTCATTATCACCCAGGGTGGGCGTTCGACCAGCTCCCACGTCCCCATGCCGATCAGGCTGCGGATCTCCTTGTCCATGGTGGCCTTCACCGCCTTGCCCTTCCAGCTCGCCAACGCCTCCTTGACCGTCATTGTCGCGATGTCCCAACGGTGTTTGGGGTCGGCGTGTTTGTCGGGGTCGAGTTCTGGTAGGTCGACATCGTCCTCGGCGTCGTCGTACAGCGGGTCGTCGTCGATCTCGTCGTACACCGTGATGTAGACAGCCGGCGGCAGGCACGCGTGGTAGGACAGGAAGTCAGGCGGCCTCCAAACTCGGCCTGTACGACAAGGTCCAGGCTGGACTTCCACAACGTCGCTGTCGATGGACTCCTCGGCGCCCAACTGCTCCCCTCCGTCGTCACCGGCTTCGCTGCTGTCGACGTCCTGCTTCACCACGGTCGGCGTCCCTACCGACTTCTCCCCTGCCGACTGCTCCTTGGTCGGCTTCACTGCTGGCTGCGCCCCTGTCGACGGCTTCCCTTCCGACGCCTCTTTCGCCGGCTCAACCAAAGTCGGCTGCACCTCCTCTGCCTGCTCCTCCCCTGTCGGCGTCAAATTTTCTCCCACGCCGACTTGCGTGGCGTCACGTCGGACACTGGCGATGCTCTTGGCCGGAGCCACAGGCGACGCCCCACTTCTCCCCTCATCGTCGGAGGCCGACACCAGGGTCAGCCCACCAAGGTCGGCTACAAGAGGAGGGGAAGGAGGGGCAAAGGAAGGGGAAGGAGGGCGGGCGACCTCGGCGTCCTCACCAGCAAGCTCACCAACCTCGGCGAGCAGGGGCAGTGTCGCCGTCGAGGTGTCCGTCGGCGGGTTGACCTGCGTCCGTCCCGACGCCGGCCTTTGCTCCGACTTCCACACCTCCAGCGACAGCGTCTCGTAAAACACCACGTCCGAAGTGATGGCCACCCTGTTGTCGGTGAGTTCGAGAAGCTCCCAGCCCTTGCAATCTTCCGACACGCTGAGATGAAGGCCCCACCTGGCCTTCGGCTTCAGCTTCCCACCACGCTGTTGCTCGGGGACCAAGAACTGCGCCATGCAGCCCCAAACGCGTGCCATTGACAAGTCGGGCTTCTTCCCGTTGAGCAGCTGGTACGGCGTCGTCCCCGGCAGCAGCGTCGACCTCTCAAGGGAGTTGCAAACTCAGACGGCCTACCGCAGAGCGAGGTGCCACCAGTGGTGCTGCACGCCCATGTGCAGCAGCATTGTCCGCACCAACTCCACCACCGTCCTAATCTCCCGCTCCGCCATGCCATTCTGCTGCGGGGTGTAGGGGCAGGTCAAGTCGTGGACGACCCCCTTGCAGTCCACGAAGGCAGTGAAATCCTTCTCAAGGAACTTTCCTCCTCGGTTAGAGTGTAGTATCAGCACTGGCTTCTTCGCCTGCTGCTCAACCACCACCAGCCACTTCTCGAACTCCCGCAGTACGTCCGACTTCCTGGCTACCGGCTTCACCCAGACGTAGCGGGTCTTGCGGTCCTTCAGCAGCAGGAAGTACAGGCTCCCGTCCTTGGCCGCCACACGAAACGGCCCGCACAGGTCGATGTGCACGACGGCCAGGGCGTCCGCGGCGTCCAAGCCCTTGTCGGGGAAGGTGTGCCGCGCCAGATTTCCGGCGACGCGCGAGACACACAGTGAGTCCGTTCCAGTCGACGGCTTGAATTCCAGGCCGGTGGTGATCTCGTGCTTCGCCGAGCTCGTGATGGTGTTGACGCCGACGTGTGCAAGCCTGGCGTGCCACCTGGCCGGCGTCGACTTCGTCGCCAAGACTATCGCTCGCAGAGCCACTACATCCGCCGTGGACGTCGTCGACGTTGCCGTGCACGGGCGCAGGTTGGTGCACAGGACCCGGCCGGTATACTTCGCCCGACCAAGCACGTCCCCCGCCGCCGAGACAAGGAGCATCACGTCCCCGTCCTCTTGCAGCTTTACGCCATTCTCCTTCAGCTGGGCGGCGGACAGTAGGTTCGCATGCACGCCCGGGACGTAGAGTACGTCGGGGATGAGCACCTGCTTCCCGGCTGCTCCTTGTAGGGCGACAGTGCCTCGACCTTGTACATCCTGCATGTCAACGGGGGTTGTGGTTGGCCCCGTCCTCGCTTGGGCGGAGCCGACTTCGCAGTCGGGTGTGCGGGGAGCGCAGCCGATCAGCCAAGCTGGAGGGCGCCTGGCAGGAGGGCGCCGAGCTGGAGGGCGCCTTGCTGGAGGGCGCCGAGCTGGAGGGCGCCTGGCTAGAGGGCGCCGAGCAGGAGGACACCGCCATGGGCGTCTGGACGGCGTCCTGGGAGCCTGGACGCCGACCTAGGCGTCCGGACGCCGACTTGGGTGCTGGGACACCTCTTCTCGGGACGCCGGTCTGGTGTGGCCGGCGGCCGACTGGGCTGGGCGACTAGGCGTGGTTGCCCGGTCGACCGGGATACCCGGGCGATGTGTGCGAAGGTCGCCGGGGAGGTTTCTGCGAGGCTGACCTCGGAAGTGGTATCCCGAGGTCGACATGGCTGGTGGGCGCAGTCGTTGGCGTGGAGTCGAGCTGGGCGTCTGCGCCGTGCTCGTGACGAGGAGTGGTGCATCAACCAGCCGCGCGCACCTGCGAAGCAGGTGCACCGTTGTCCTGCGGGTGCAACGCTGTACAGCCGACTTGCTGCAGCGTTGGCACACCGTGTACTTGCAACGTTGGCGAACCGCTACTCAGCAACGCTGGAGCGGTGCGAGCTCTGCTGCGCTGGATCGTGGTCGACCATGCTGCGCTGGATCGTGGTCGACCATGCTGCGCTGGAGGTCGACCAGCAGCCTAGCTAGCTCTCATGTAGTCTGTGATGCCAATGTTGTTGCTATCATTGTTGTCATGTTTTCCTAGTGAAACTCTTGCCAATTTTCCCCGTGAACTAGCAAGCAGCGTGAACACAAGGAAAAGACTAAGGAACGAACGCAGAGATCACTCTAGCCCCGTGCCTAGCCCGTAGTCTAGCTCCCGTTGATTTAGTTATCTCCGCTCTGCAGCACTCCATTGAAGCTGCGCACGTGTTTGACATCGCCGCTCGGCTTCAAGTCGACGAAGACGTCCTTGGTCCCCATCAGGTGGTACGAGCAGCCGCTGTCGAGCAGGACCACCGCTGGGTTCGCCTGCATAACTGCTGCCACCGCCTGGAAGTCCTCGCCGGCCTCAGGCGCCAGCGAGATGGTCGACTCCACGACGCCGACCGGCGAGCACGACGCCTCCTGGTCGCCTCGCCCCTTGCCGCCAGAGG